TAACTGATCATCATTTTTCAGATTAGCCTTACTGAAACGAATTCAATACCACTAACCTGCAATCCTGTGAAACTCCTCTTTAATGGCTCTGAGGGGTTTGTGCCCAGGAAACACAACAAAAATTCACAGAAAGCGCTTGAGGGTGAGGCACACTTTCCGAACTATTCTACATACAGTGGCCTTACTAATGTGCTCTGCATCCCCGATGTTATAAAGAAAACTACCGTTTGCAACAAATCGTAACGCAACACAAAGCATCTGCTCGGATGTAAGAGCATGGCCACGATGGGTGATGTGTTTGATGTATGGGTGGATAAGATTATTGATATATGTTATGGACTCTCTAGAAAAACGGTACCGCTCAAATAAAATTACATGGGGATATGACAAAAAATCAACTGAGGTAGGCCTATTTAAACACCTTTCACTTTAAAAAGGGGTGGAGACTGGAGGAAACTCTGGGTTTCCCGAACAAAACCTGCTCCCGACCAGGTTAGGTTCACAGAGTAAATTGCCATAGTAACTGACTCTGAGTTTAGATTACCTCTCTTTTTGAAATGGGTTTAACTTACCCCGCTTTCACAGGTTTAAGTTACCTCCGTTTCTGAAACCGAAAACAATGCAGACAGACAAAGGAATGCTCATTGAGATGAAATAATAGGAATAAAGGAATAAATATAGAGTATTTAAAAATAGAGACCTGGGTAAGGGGCAAGTAAACAGTAAACCAGCGTGAGGCTATGTAATATAACAAAGTAAGCAGTATTAATAAGCAACAAACAGTGCATACAATGCAAAATAAGCAGTACAGAAAGGCAGTAAACAATGTAGACAGACAAAGGAATGCTCATTGAAATGAGATAAATAGGAATAAAAACAGAGTACTTAAAACTAGAGACCTGTATGAATCTGTATAATCTGTACAAGGTATATTTACAGGAATGGGACAAAGGTCATGGGATATAGGATACAGAGCACTTATTAGGTTTTTAGAGAGCACAGGGTTACACAAGATAATATAAGGTGAACTGAGTGTGGTTATTTTGGTTTGGTAGTATGTACAGTAGGGGTCGTTCTTATCCACACTCCAGTCTGGAAGGTGGCGGTAATGTACCTAAAGCTGATTGCCAACCGCCATAAAAAACAGCTGAAGAAGAAGAATATGTTTTGTTTCCTGTCGGTCAAATGTGATTTTTCAGAGCGGGAAGAATCATGGTCAGAGCAAAGTGAACGGAAACAATTTGTGTTCGTCAAAATTGTTTTCAGACTGTGAGAACATATTCTTTTGACCAGGGTTATGAGTTTAATCATGCGATATGGGTATTAGTAACGCTAATGAATGAAAGTAATGGTGGTAAATGGAATGTTAGAATGAGTCTTGATCATTAGTTTTTGCTATGTAATCACTAGTCAACATAGTAGTAATGCTAGTCAACCACTAAGCTAGCTGACAGCTAATACTCAGCTGTAAAGTGACAACCTAAGACAGGAAAGGGGGAAATAAGGTTTGCTAAACTGTCGACAAATTAACAGTGTTTTAAGTGTTACTCTACAGTGACAGGTAAGATAATGAATTGCAGTTAAACATTAACGAGGGCTAACTCCTAACTAACTGCATTAACATATATTTATCTTGTGCCTGTGTAATGTATGGATAAAGTTAGGTTTGTTTGACCTGTTTCTTGTTTTTTTCTTCTTTTTTTTGCAAATATTTCTTTCGAACAGGGACAGAGGAATATGGCTTCTTCCAGAGCGACATACACCATTGGAGGGGTGAAAATCCACTTTCCCTGTAAGGCTTACCCATCCCAGCTGGCCATGATGAATTCAGTGAGTAAATCTTCACTGCTCCATAAACCAAATGCACTTGTATGTGGCCCTCATTTTAGTTTCTTTTTGGTGGATGGAGTTTGGTGATATCATCCCACTTCTCTCTGCCATTTGTCTGCTGCATGTGTGTGCAGCGACTGTTGCAGAATCTGACAGGCACTTGGGGAAGGAAGGTGCGCACACATTGCATTTTTATCTTCATCTTGGTGGTCTATTTTTGTAGTGGGCCCTCTGTGTTGCATTTTGTAGATGGTCCCTGTGCACTTGTCTTCCAGCTGGCTGCACAGAGACCAGTGTTACTTGCCCATTGAGTGTGTTTATGTAGGTGAAGGTCGGAGGGTAGCTCTTTTTGATGAACACTGGGTTGTAGCTTGTTTTTCTACTTCACTATGGTTGGAAAAAGGCACTGTTTATGTTTTAACAATGCTTTGCTATGATTTATTGATCCAGGAACTCAGGCTAATTATTTAATAAATTGTCTTAATTAATTAAGGAAACTTAATTCAGTACATTAGTATTGTTGTTAGTTAGGTTAGCAAATTCTTTAGTTGTAAAATAGTCCACATTTGTTTTACCTTTTCTCTGTCTTCTGTCATTATTAATATATCAGTCCACTCTGGGTGTAACTAACTTCCTGACAGTATAGACTTTTTTTGTTGACAAAAATGTAATGACTTCAGGAAACAAACTTAAGAGTCACTGGGTGGCAGAAGATGGGCCTTGTGTACTGATTGGTGCACTATCAGAAAACTCACTGAGTCCTTAAAAAGCATGTTCAAACCTTTATTTTATAGAACAATCATCTTATTAAACAGTATCAAGATCATCATAGATTGAGTAGCGTTAAGGTAAAACAAGGGTCAACAAAAATATGGTGACCCACTCTGCTACTCCTCCCATGCAGGTGAACAGGTGCTCCTAATATCTGTGATAACCACCCCCTACCCATGTGACCTCAATCAGTCACCATGACGACAATGGAAATGGAACATATAAACCAAACAAAAAAACTTGAACAAATTATAAGATGCTATAATCACATGTGGGCTCACTTGGACTTCATGCATACTTTGTGCTATGGAGCTGGCAGGCTAAAGCCCCCTTAATGTAAAGATAAACTGACTAGGACATTTGCGTTCTCACATACAGCTGCTCTACTTTTGATAGACCCCCAGTTTTTCACAGGGATGAAATATATAAACAACAAATTACCCACAGTCATACCTACAGTCAAGTGGTGTGTCAGAATGAAATGTATAATATTATATGTGGGTTTGGTATTTCGTGATTTCATTTCTAGCCATTTAATGTGTAATCTTGGGTACCTCTAGATTAGGTTTGCAATCATCATAACTCGAAATAGTCTGTAATTAGTTCAAAGGATTAAAAACTGTTATCACAAGGAGAGCCGCCTCTTGAAAATGAGAGGATAGTTTGTGAACACGCACAACTTTGACAGATAGGCTATGTTTTCAACAGTGTCAATACTTCAAATCCTACCTGACATGTTTGAGCCAGAACATGAAAGTGGACAGCATGATGAACCACAACAGCATTAATTAATTGTAATTTCTCCTCCATAGACAGGTAAACAACGATATATGTACCAATGAAAAGAGATGTGTAACACTCTTAACAAAGCGGGTCATGTAAAACACCAAGTCCCTCTACAGGAGCATTCCTGGACATGCAGTAACATCAGGCCCTGTATTTTCTTCTAAATCCTCTTGTCAAAGTGCAGCAGCAGCAGGAGGTAAAATATATCCACAAAACTGTGCGCAGTTGAAAAATTCCACTTTTAATATGGCCCCAGTGGATGTCAGGCAAGCTCACATGAATGTGCATCTGCCTGGAGATTATGACCATTCAAAGAAATTCATAAACTGTTGCGCAAGACTTTACATATTTGGAAAAAATTTCACCAGCAGGAGTTCACAAGATTTGTATAAACTGAGTTGCTTCTGCATAGAACTATAACATAGGTACACCTATTTTTTGAGCTTTAGGTCACATTTAAGATGATAATTCACCGTTGTAACATTGCAGATATGTCAGAAACCACAGAAAAGCATGCAACAGGCTCTTTAAGAAATATCAGGGTCTTTTGTTTTGCAATGAGGAAACATGCTACCCAGTGCAGCAGTGTGTTTCACCGATGTGTTTTTAATTGTTTTGGAACATCAATAAAGGTCTATGGCACAGATGAATAAAATAATCCAGGACTGACAGATATTAATAGTGGGTAGAGGCAAATCATTGTTGGCTTTAGTCTTTGAATGGCAAGTGTTGAAAATACTGTTAATATAGAAAATGACTGGCCTTATCCTTTAAAGACTGTAGAGTAGAGCTTAACTGTAAGGCAGTTAACAGTTAAATATGTCTATACCTTTTTTGCAGATCATACGAGGACTGAACAATGGACAGCACTGTTTGCTGGAGAGTCCCACAGGTAGTGGAAAAAGCTTGGCTTTGCTCTGCTCCGCTCTCGGCTGGCAGCAGGCGCAGTTTGGTGAGTCTGCTCTGACTTGGATAAACAAAACAGAAAAAGTGTGCAGGCAAGTAGGCCTGGGTAAATGAAATAAAATCAATTTTGGTGAACAATTATTTACACCCAAAGTGTGTCAATGTGGCTAGCTGACTGCTGCACTGATTATAAATGGTATTTGGGTGTGACGACTGATCGGACCCACTTGGACTGAGTCAGGCCTAGCACAGGTTAAGGTGGCCTTACACTAGAAGACTATTTAAGACTCAAAGTATGTTTAAAATACCCAGGTCTGACACCCTCTCACATCTAAACACAGTGTATCATTAGTTACAGAATTTTAGTGATTTAGTGACTATGATTTTGCAAAGACTAGGGATTGTGTAGGGTCATATTTACAAGACTGCAGCTAGATTTTCTCTTGAGACTACTTCCCATATGCATTTGGCAGCAGCTGCACTTGTGTGTGCGGTGTTTTGCTTAGGAAAAAGTCAAAAATCAAAAGAGTAGACATGACCCTGTTTGACTGAATGGGGACAGTGAAGTCTGTCCACCTTGTTTTTTTTTTCTTCTTCACTCTGTCACAGTACAAATTGAATGACTTGTCAAATAGACACCTGCTCACACCACAACTCTGTCAGTTTTCCCTTTGTAATGGTTCAATAGAAGGCACGGAGTTGATTTTATCTTTACTAGCATATACACTTCAGTGTATGTGCTAGTAACATTTCTCAGTGGTGGCCCACCATACCAAAATCTTTGCCGCCACAGCAAAAAGTCAATCCAGCCAATAAATCATTTAATCAAGTGCCTCAGACACTCGCCCGGGAAGCAACAGGGCGAGTCACATACACAGGTGCAGTTAAGGCCAATTCAGATGGAGTGTATTTTTAGATGCATTTTTCATGCAACAGATAGAACTCCATTCTATCTAAGGTCTCCCAGACCCACATGCATGTGATCTGCGCATCACCCATTTATGCCTCAGGTGTATTTTCTCTGGTGAATTGAGTGCAACATCTCCACTCACTGTGTAAAAAAAGGTGTCAAGGCATGACGCATCTGTCTCAGGGTCAGTGTTGATCAACACAGATTGGAAGTCTTTGTTTCGTGAGATTGGCTGTGTTGGTCTGGGCTCACACCCGGAACCTTCTTGCTGTGAGGTGACAGCGCTAACCACCATGCTGCTATATTACCCATGATAGCACACCCTTTGGAAAAAATAGCTGAACTTAATCACTTCCTGTAAATATCAGTGAGTTTCTTCCATCTCTTTACTGGAATTTTTGACCACTCTTCTTTTGCCATCTGCTCCAGGTCTCAGATTTGAAGTGTTCCTTCTCCCAGCTGCTCTTTTGAGATCTCTCCACAGATGCTCTATGAGATTTAGATCTGAACTCATTGCTGGCAGCTTCAGAACTCTCCAGCACATTGTCTGAAACCATTTCTGCTGCTTTTTGAAGTCTGATTTGGGTCATTGTCCTGCTGTAAGACCCATGACCTCTGATGGAGACCCAACTTTCTGACACTGGGCCCTACACTGTGCCCCAGAATTCATTGGTGGTCTTCAGATTTCATAATGCCATACACACAGTCACGACATCCAGTGCCTGAAGCAGCAAAGCAACCCCAAAACATCAGTTAACCTCCACTGTGTTTGACTATAGGGACTGTGTTCTTTTCTTTGAAGGCCTCATTTTGTTTTCTGAAAACAGTAGAACGATGTGCTCGACCAAAAAGCTCTATTTTAGTCTCACCTTTCTACAGGACATTCTCTTAGAAGGACTGGGGCTCCCTCAGGTAAGTTTTGGCAAACTCCAATCTGGCATTTTTATATTTCTATGTCAGCAGTGGGTCCCCCTGAGTCTCCTACTCTAGCATCCCTTGTCATTCAGATGGCGCCGGATAGTGCGAGCTGACACTGTTGCACCCTGTGCCTGAAGGTCAGCTTGAATGTGTTTGGAAGTTGTTCAAGATTCTTTATCCACCATTTGAACAGTCCTTTGCTGCAATCTGTCATGTATTTTTCTCTTTCATCCACATCCAGGGAGATTAGCTACAGCCCCATGGGCTGTAAACTTCTTGACAATGCTGGCACAGTAGACACAGGAACAGCAGGATCTCTGGAGATGGACTTGGAGCCTTGAGACTATCCAAGGTTTACTACTATTGTGGTTCTCACATCCTCAGACAGTTGTTTGCTCTTCTTTCTTTTCTCCATGCTCAGTGTGGTCCACATGACACAAAGGTTGAGTCAACTTTTCTCCATTTTAACTGGTTGCAAGTGTGATTTCTATATTGCCAGCACCTGTTGATTGCTACAGGCGAGTTTCATTACAAATGAAAGGAGCATCAAATGCTTGCCATACAACTATTTCTAATGATTTTGAAAATGTGTCAATAATTCTGTCCAGTCCATTTTTGGAGCTCTGTGTGGAATCTGATAGATTTGGCTTTTTTCTCTGCTCTTTGTGTTAATCCAATGCAAACAAAAATACATAAACATGAGAATACCAAAGAATTTGTGATTACAGCAATTTTCTGCGAGCTGTGTTGTGTTGTCTGAGAGAAATGCAGGGGTCCCAGTATTTTTGGCCATGACCGTATGTGCTGGCTGCAGGCTGGTAAAAAACTTGACACTGTTTGCAGCTAAAGATTATTTATGAGGTAAAGGACATATCACTCTGTAGCACCATTGAACATTCAGTGAACTGAGTGTGTCTGTAGTTCAAACAAGTAGTGATGGATAAGCCAAGGCTTGCTGAAGCACTGAGCCATTTTGAAGGCATTGTGTTGAAAATGGTTCACTTTTGGCACAGTCAAGAATGGCACTGTCTGCTGGCCAAACCTCTGATACTGTATTTGAATCAGTGGAACAAATCTGAGACCATGCATCAACACTGAATCACAGTATACGTAGTATTAATGCTTTTGTATTGTAATTTTGTTCATTAAAGCTAGTGTTATAAAAATTGATAATTTTTAAACTGATTCTGTGATTCTGCTTTTAAATACTGAGAAGTACATTTAGTATTCAAAACCAGTGTGACACCTCACTGATACCAGTGTGACATAACCAAGCCTCGTTTTATGGTCATCACGTGCTTTGTGTGTGTGTGTGTGTGTGTGTGTGTGGTGAAGTGAGGCATTGAAATGTACCATGATACTTCTGCTTTGAAAGGTTCATACAGTGTCGAGCCTTTTTCTTTGAGCATAGTATCACTACCAACAAGTAAGTTGAAATTGAGAGGTTAGGTTTTATTTTTTGCAACTGAAGTTTTTTGTTTTTACAGAAGGAATAAAGTGCGGAGTAAAGTTCTGTCGGGCACCAGTACTCGTACTACTTCAAATGTGAATAGTACCCAACTCTGTTTCGTACCATTTTCTTGTTTGTGCATATCCCTCAATTTTGTCTGCACCTTATGTACAGAATGAGTGTCAGTGTCACTGAGAGTTATGTTTCCTTATGTGATGACAGCTAAACGGCAAGAAGAAGGAAGCCAAGTGAAGGGCAAGAACCAGTCAGATAAAAGCTCTGGAGAATATAAGAAATCAGACATCACCACCCCCTGTCAGTGTTTTTGCCACAGCAAAGCCAGTGGGGCCCCAGCTTCACCATCAGCCAATGCAGCTGTTGTGGACCTCACTTTGTCACCTTATAAAGAGACGTCACAGCAGCTGCCTCCAGCACCTGAACACAGTAGGTATCTTTCAGTAGTTTGTTTTGTTTGTGGTACCATCTGAATACATCCCTAACAAATAGTTTTTTTTTTCTGAGGCCGTCTTTCTGTTGCATTACCCTTTAACACAATATTGACTTAATTTTTTTTAATCAAAATACTGACAAAGTATCAAATATGATACAATTAGTTATTTTTTGTTTTATATTTATAATTAATATCAACTTGGATAAAAGTTCAGAGATATCAAGTCAAGTAGCTTTTTTATTGTGTGTTTGCAAACAGAAGCAAGGTAGTAGGACTTCAGTCCCTAAAATATATTGATATTTTGGGAGTGACTTAATATCTGTGTTTGCACTGTCTAATTCAACTCTTGCCCATTTTAAAATGTATGTCCTTGTCTTCAGAATTAACTGTAGACATTGTCCTATTTTGACTGTTTTTAAACAGCTAAGGATTTGCTTGGGGCTAACCAATACTAAGCTGGTTATATAGTTAATTTCTGTTAGGGTGTATGCTTTAGTGCAGGGGGAGTCACAGCTCAAGAAATCGTCTATAGCCTCTCGTGTGCCTGAGAAGTTCCAGTCGCCCTTAAGGTCTGATTGCGAGAAAGACAATGACTTCCAGCCAGAGAAGAAACGCTTTCGTACTGCTGAACACAAGGTAGTTACAGATACTTTGTATACTGTTGTACATTTATACTGAATTTACTCTGTATTACATTTCAAAAGGTGATTATATGTTTGGTCCCATGGCATCAAAGGAAAGAATATCATTACTTGCACTGGTTTGGTACAGTTTTGTACTAGGAGTTAGAAGTTGATGATAAATCACAATACAGTATTATGACAACGTGTTACTCACTATAACATGTTACTGAGATGCAGGAGGATTAGCATGCAATACACTATTTCTTCCAGTCAATCATATACAACATTCAGTGGCTTCAGAAAGTATTCAGACCTCTTTACTTTACAGACCTCAACACTCAGTACCCCATAATGACAAAGTGAAAACTTGTTTTTTTTGAAAATTTAGCAAATTTAGAAATCTGAAAGATGATTTAATGCATACAGTGGTACAAACAACAAAATGGAGTTAGCTGCTTATAAAAAAAACCCAAACATTTTATTGTCCTTGAGATGTACATAAATCTCAATCTTATCTGAATCCAGCATCGAATTAGTGATGGAATCCACTTTACCAGCATTATTTTCACAAAACTGCCATGATCATCACCGGCTAAAACTGAAAGCTGCCAGGTTGCCAGCCTGTCGCAGGGCAGACAAATAGACAAACAACCTCACACATTCACACTCACTCCTATTTGGCAATTTAGAGTCACCATTCATCCTAAGCTGCATGTCTTTGGACTGTGGGAGGAAGCCAGAGTACCCAGAGAGAACCCACGCAGGCACAGGGAGGACATGAAAACTTCAAATAGGAAGGCACTGGGGTGGCCTGGGGTCGAGCCTTGAACCTTCTTGCTATAAGGCGACAGTGCTAACCACCCCATGAGGGTCGCGGGGGTGCTGGAGCCAATCCCTGCTGACACTGGGCAAGAAATGGGATACACTATGGACAGGTCGCCAGTTTATTGCAGGGCTATGCATGGAACTATCACTGAATAATTGATACTTATTCATGCGTCATCTACGTGTAGGCCTATACATCTATGTAAGTATGTTGAGCGGAGTCAGGAGCACAGTGAATCCTGCACAAACACCTGTCAAGTCCTAATGCACAGAGGTAGTTAGAAGGAAGCATTAGTGTGTTTATTTGTAAAGATAATGTTGTGTATTTTATTTTTCTGCACTCATTAATTGCCCAAAGTGATGAGCTCAGAACTTCAGAGTTTTATTATTCAAAGATCAAATGAGGGGGGGAAAAGTCACTAAAACTGCTGCTGTTTCCAGGGTGTGTCCCACCCCTTCCCCAGTGCCAGCTGGGGTTGGCTCCAGCTCCCCCGGACCCTCATTAGGATAAGCGATATAGGCAATAGATGGATGGAAAGTTCCATGCACATGATCCACTGCTAGCCGTTATGTGGCCCAAATTGCTAGATGTTAGCTGATGGCACAGCGGCACGGTGGTTAGCGCTGTTACCTCATGGCAAGAAGGTTTGAGGTTTGATCCCGGGCTGCCCCGGTGCCTTTCTATTTGAAGTTTTCATCTCCTCCCTGTGCCTGTGTGGGTTCTCTCTGGCTTCCTCCCACAAACCAAAGACATGTAGCTTAGGTTGATTGGCAACTCTAAATTGCCCGCAGGAGTCAGTGTGGTTGTTTGTCTCTTAAGTGTCAGCCCTGCAATAGACTGACGACCTGCCCAGAGGATACCCCGCGTCTCGCATGTGACTTCAAAGGCCCAAACTTAATTATGTCACAAATTATATACCTGGGACTCCCTATCAGTCAGTCACAACTGAAGAAATGTCTTGGATGAAATGTGAAGGGTCTTCAAGAACGTTAGGCAAGTCCAATTGCTAACTTTTTAACTTCAGAATCAAATCAATTTCATTTATATAGCACTTTAAAAACAACATCCAGTTCATCAAAGTACTTTACATAGGCAATTAGGATATAATATATCCCACCCCTTGACAGGTGCCATTGTAGCAAAATGTTGGGGGGGGGCGAGGGCGACAGTGTGGTGGGTAGAGCAGTCGTCTCCCAACTGGAAGGTTGGAGGTTCAAATCTCAGTGCCTGCAGTCTACATGTTGAACTGTCCTTGGGCAAGACACTGAATCTCCCCCATTGCCCTCGATGGTTAGAGCCATTGGTTGAGGTGGCGCCGCAGATGGCTGCCTCGGTTCTGTACCAGAAGCAAATTCCTTGTGTGTAACATACTTGGCCAATAAAGGTGATTATCCTTATCCTTATTTACTTTACCTGCCAGTGGTTTTAATGTTTTGGCTGATCAGTGTATACCAGTATGAACAAAGAGCATTTAATATAATGCTTTGTTTACATGCAAGCTTTTTCATGATCTTAATAGTCATTACCTGTTAGCTCATCAGATTTTGTGAAGTGCCATATTTTATATACAAAAAACGTAATGTGTACTAATAATTAGCAAATTTAAATGCACAAAAGTACATTTTTGGCAAAACTCAACATTTTGTATCAGAAATGTTGAGTGAAGTGAGGTTTCCATGTTTGTTCCTCAGAGCCAAAACAGGCAGCATCTGGAGCAGGGAGTGACATTCTTAGATGATGAGCCGGAGCTGGAAAATAAGCCTTTGGCTCCTCAGAGAAGACCTGACGGCCAAACGGGGCCATACAACCCTGCTGCCGGTTCATCCTCATCTTGCAGTGTGAGTACTTTATGGATAGAGATGTGGCATTACACTAAGAATATGGTTTTACTGACACATGGGGACATGAATTTTTAAATATTAGCTAATCACTCTGGACCACATATTATGTGGCTGATGTGATGCCTTCGAAATGAATACCTATGTGGTGTAGAGCTGATCATTGCTACACTAACACGGCCCTGTTATTTGGACACCTTAATGTAATATAGCCGTAATGACTAATTACACCCTTGCTTTTCCTGTAATGACATGTCAAAATATCTGCTGTGAAAAAGGTCCCCTGTGCCTGCTGGCTCATTAAGATGGCTTACCAACACACTTAAATGACACAGAGCCATCAGTATTATTGATAGGTGTGCTTCGCCTGCTACAAGATATTAAAATATCCATTGTGAACAAGTCTGTTACACCCTATCAGCATTATAAATGGCCCACAGAAACACAGATTGAACCAAATTACAAATTATATCAGTGGAGTAGTTTACAAGTGGTTTCCAGCAGTAGGCTCAGAATCACCATTCACTATCACCACTGGGTGGTGATGTACTCCACCAGACTGACCTATGGCTTTAACTGAAGCAAATGTGAACATTGCAGTTAATCAATTTTTTTCTCAACACAAAATAGTTAAATACAAAACTACTATATAGTAGAATTCATAAGTTCCACAGAGTAACAACCACTTTTTAACAGAAATGCAATGATAGCCTAATTCACAAAAGCACCAGGCCAGTCATTGGAAGGGCAGAGGAACACTCTCAAAGCTTTGTGCCATAAAAACTTTGCGATATTTCAGGCTGCCACCATACAGTTCCTGACAATGGTGAAGTTGAACAAAATATGAAGTTCTATAACCACCGACATAAGAGCATCTGCATTAGCCAGCAATAGCCCTAACAATTACCTTATTTATATGAATAAGGGTAGATGAAAACATCACAATAAAATTCATTAGCACCATAAACTACAACCTCCAGTGTGAATATAAATTTGGATCAATTTCAGAACATACAGTACTGAGTAAAGGTTTTCAGAACTAAAAATAAAGTGGGGATGCTTTCAGAAATCATGACAGGAAGAGTTTTGTTCATTAATAAATCCTAAAATAAAAATTACAATTAGCCGTGACCGCACTTTGTCTTTAAAGTAAATAGATAGGATGTTGCCAGTATCTTGGAGAGCCTGTCACAGTTCTTCTGTGGGTTTGGTTCTCACTGTTTTCTGTCTCCAAGTGTAATTTCAGACTGACTCCATGATGTTGAGATCAGGGCTCTGTTGCAGCCACACTATTTGCTGCAGGACATCTCTGTCTATGAAGATAGTTCTGTATGACTCTGGCTATATGTTTGGGGTATCAAAAGTGCCTAGAATATTTGCACAATACTGTATATAACTTTCATGAAGACAGGATATATTTAGGATTGCATCAAGAGACTATGTTAATTTTTTATTAATCTGACAGTTTTCTGGATGAACCATTTAATGTTTTTGTTTAAAGTCTGTCATAAAATACTGAAAAATGCCCATTATAATTTATAATTTCAGGGTACCATCATACCATTTCTTTCAAGTTTTAAGGAAAATTGAATTTCTTTTAGATGAATGTTGATTATTTTGTAGTCTAGAACATCTGTGATGAAGCTTTGTCTGCTTTAAGTTGAAGGTTTTGGGTCCTAAAATGGAAAAAAGGTGTCTTGTGTCAATCCTTAGCTGTTGTTAGAAACAGCCAAACCAGGTGCATCAAGTAACACCATGTTCTTAAAGGTATCAGGATGCTGTTTCTGGTGAATAATAATTAGTCTTGCTCAGCTGTAGAATTCTGTTGCAAAGCTCACAGGAATGGTTGAACTGTGTCAAAACCTGCCACAGGTGTGTGGCTTGGATTTAGAGCTGGGGATGGTGGGAGGTGGAAAAAGAGGAGGAGGGAAAGTGCAGTTGAAAAAGAGTATCCCTCTCTGGTTTCCCTGCAGCTACATGACCCTCTCTTTTTTGTCCCATGAGCGCTGACTGACGTCCTGAATGGGGCCCTTTGAAGCAAGCTCCAGTTTTAATTAAGAGGGTTTGCCTCGCTTGGGCCGCTGATCTGTGAAAGCCACGGGGATAAATATTGAATGGGGTTCACCTGCTGGTTACTGCGCCTGAGGGATAAACAGGTGCTTTGGAGGGCAGGTATTTGCCAGAGTCCCTAGCTGCTCAGTGTGGTCATATTGGGAGGAGGGGGGGTCTTTGGTGTCATGTCCTCCAAAGCATTGGCTATTGAAGGCCACCTGTATTGGGATGAATTCTAAGTCCTTGTAGGCTGTGGAATAAGAAGCAAATTGGTGTCCAGTGAGAGGCGCCAGTGATACTAAGTGCTCCATCGTCTGCGGCTCCTTGGTGCCCTCTGACTGGCCCCCTGGAGTGTGAGATTTCCATCTATCAGGTGTTGGCAGAGAGAATAGGAACAGAAGCCTACCTGTGAATATTCTAACCTCTTGTTCTGTCAGTGCAGGAAAGCTATAGCTGCTGCATATATTTACACCTGTTATTGTACTATAGGTATACCAAGGAAACTTCTCATACTGAAAGAAACTTAGTAAACCTAAAGAAACATAGTGTGCCTTTATTAAGTAAACTACTAGTATACCTGAAGAAATGTAGTAGTAACCTAATGAAGCTTAGTACACCTTTTAGTGTACAGTGTATCTGTAAATGCTGGGGCAGTTCCCTCATGTAACATGTTGTCTGACAGACAAACGAGAACATCATTATTGCTAATGCTATTCAAGGAGCAATATCAAGTGGAATTGTTCTAGGTGGAATGGACCGGTATGTTCTTGCTGCAAGCAGACCTGCGGTCCTGTTCTGCCCTTTTACCAATTATTTGCATTCCTTTCTAGGGGTGTCTGTTCTGGGCTATGGGGCCATTCTTGAAACCTTGTTTTCCTGGCATCTAAGGAGGTAGACATGTAAAACGATACTCTTGTGTCAGCTGTTTCCTGCTGCAGCTTTTGACAAGGGCCTGTATTCATCAGCAGGCCCTTCCACACTGCCCCAACTCACAACTGCCCCCATATTTGGATGGCTCTATTTAATGTGGCAGCAGCAGGTAAGTTGATCGGGCCCAGGACCCAGGCTGTGAAGCATAACTGGTCCAGAGGAGAAAGGTAACTTGAACTGGTGTTGGGGCCCTGCAGCTCTTCTGTTTGTTTTTCACTTGGGCTCAGACCTCGTTATCCCTCTTAACTCTAGGAGAATACTTTCTAAGGGCTTTCTTGGGCCTATACTCCATCTCATGTTGTAATATTTGGTGGGTGAACATGCTTGGAAAATCTGAGCAGGTGGTAACTTGAGTTACATGTCTGTCATCAGAAGTGCTACGTTCTGATCCCCATCATAAGTGGCAGTGCATGACAACACATACCAGTCATTCTTACAAGGAGTCATTTGGGTAATTTGTAAAGAATTTAGAGAGAACCATTTTTGCCAAGCTTGTGAATTTGTTTATTTAAAGCTACAGTGTGTACCTTTTTCCCCAGATGTTTTTGTTGTAGAAATCTGCTCCAGAACCTGTCTTAATGTAGAGATGTGCTGTTGAAGCCTCCTGTGACTCAGTCTCATTGAACAGCACTGGCAGCAGTGCAGAGACAATAGCTTCTAAAAGGTTTTGAGTGGGATTGACATCTCTAACCAGTCAGAGATTTTCAGTTATTTCTGCTTGATCAGTAAGTTTTGTTGCATTCTCATAAAAGACCTGTAGGGCTGGGCAGAGTGTGGTGGAGCATAGCTGATTATAGTAGAGCACAGTGGAGCAGGGGGAGGGAGTGCTGGGCAGAGCAGAGTGGATTGATTTGGAGTTTCATGCTAGTGCATGCTACCTTAAGTTACATACTATATTTTAATATTAATAAAATATGTTGATAATAGGTAGTGGACCTTTTGGTTTGATTCCATTGTTGAATGTGCCAGAATGTCAGTATACATCTTCTTTGTCACTCTCAACAGTAAATGTTAGGGGGCCACTTATCTATTGTTGTTCTGGTCAAAGGACAGTGGTTCATGGACATTTGTGTTCTTTGCTTTTATTGTCTTTACACATGTTATGACTGTAATAGAGACAGACACAAGTGGGAGGATTTTGTTGTAATGTTATTTAAAGCATAAGGTTTTGTCACTCTGCCATTTGCAGTAAGTGAATATGTAATAGATGGATATGTACTGTACTTTGTTTTTATATTTTTATGCCAAGGAATTGGTAGTGCATTTTTGTAAAAATAACTGTCACAGATCCCTAAAATAATATGCAAAATTCATTGTTTTCCTTAGTGTAAATCACTAAATGAGTTTCTGCTGACTTTTGACTTTTTTTTTAGTAGACACCACCTGTGGGATCTTCTCAGCCATTGGTTTCAGGCAATGTTCTTATCACTTCCACACACTTCCTCTTTGCAGTTTGTACATACAGTTGCATATGGGTGCAACTACCCTTTTGTTGCCACTTGAAGATAAGATAACACTTTGTCCCAAGGAGGAAATTGGAATGTGACAGCATTATATACACAATATAGAAGTAGAAAGACATTCACAAAATATACATAAAGGCAGCATACACAAGCCATAAGACTATACCAAAATGGGAACCCAGAGCCATCCAAGCTTTCCAAAACAGACTGATTTAGATCAACAAATAAGTGACTTGTGTATTAATTTTTTACATGTGAAAAGTAGAACAAATATGATGGAAAGTAAACTGAATGAATACTGACCAGGAATTGTTACCACTGCTTTCCACACATTAGTGTACAGATCAGTCTCACCACAGACCGGTTATATAGCGCAATAGTAGTAGGCAGGAAAGACTTCTTGTACTGCTCTTTGTTTGTAGTGGAGCTTTTTGAGGCAGTCACTGAAAATGCTCTGCTGCTTCATCAGTTGGAGATAAAATTGGATATAAGATTTGATCTTAAGATTTCCAAAAAAATATTCATATTTTATTCAGCAAGATCTAGCTGATGCCTTACTGGTCTTTTAGTCACCTATAAGTAGCTGGGAATTATGACAGTTTTTCATGGTAGCTAGTAGCTACTAAATTTATCAATGTTAAAATCAATTCTGCTAGCCTAAGTAATTTTGACAACTTGTATAGGAGGTACAGTCTGAGATATGAAATTACAGGAATTTATAGAGTGGGTACAACTGTAAAGGATTGTACTATCTTCATAATTGATTATGAATATTTGGAACTCTGCTGCAGTATGCACTGAAATGTTGAACTCTAGCTGTGAACTACCTCTTAGTATTTATTTCCTTCCTCCATACAGTCCCCAAAACCTTGCTCCTGCTGCCCATGTGATTCAGCCAAAGAGAGTACGATGGAGAAAGATGACAAAAAGCAGATTCCTAAGATCTTCTTTGGCACTCGCACTCATAAACAGATAACTCAGATTGCCCATGAGCTCAAACGCACTGTTTACTCCAGCGTGCCAATGACCATCTTATCCAGCAGAGACCACACCTGTATCAACAAAGAAGTGGCGCCCCACGCCAACCGCAACGAGCGCTGCAAGGACCTGCTGAAGGCCGAGAATGTGAGTTTGAACACTATCAAACACACAATCACATAAAATTTATTCTTATTCACATATATACCTGAGGTACAGTATATCCTTTTGGTATCAAATAGTCACTCTCTCTGGGATTTAAATGTGGCTGTTTGATCCTTCATAGGGAATAGCAGCTGTGCTCAACGTAAATACATTGGCTTTATGAACATGCCATATTGAAGATATGACAAAGCAACACAAATAAGCATACCTGTGGACCAAAGCTGTATCATTAAATTGATTAGACAGATACTGTACATCAGCTAAAAACAGCTTGTCACAAATAATGTATATTGGCATTTACAGTGGCTTCAGAAGGTATTCAGAGCCCTTCACTTTTTGTTTTTGTCTGTCATTCTAAACTCAGTAATCCACAACACCAAAATAAAATCTTGCTTTTACAAAATGTCAAACTCAAACAGATTTTTGCATTGAAAATATTCTCCCCCTTTGCCATGGCCCTCAAAATTGCAGTTAGGTGATGTTTGCTTTACTTATCCTTGAGATGATGTGTAGTACCTGACTGGAGTTCACCTGTGGCAAATTGTATTGAATGGACAAAGAGTGTGTGTATAAGATCTCACAGTTCGCACAGCATGTCACGAAAAAACCAAGACATGAAATCCAAGCTGCTCCCTCTAGACCTCTGTGATAAAACTGTGGTGAGGCATAAATCAGGGCAAAGGTACAGAAGCACATTACATTCACTAAAGAAAAATATTTGGACAATCATATATCATAATTATGACTTACTCTCTCATAGTCAGAAATATAAACTTATCACCTTTCAGCGAAATTTGTCCAAATTGGTCACCCATGTGAGTCGTGCAGATCTGCAATAAAAAGGTTATTATTATTTTTTTTTTTAACATGCGGGGGGCTGACTTGTGGGCTTGTTCACTACCATTAAAACCCAAAGACGAAGTAATAGAGTGTGCATATTTAAAGATTTTCAGTACCTGCGCACATCAGCATCACTCTGCGTATTGTGAGTGACTCTTCTGACACTTGTTGGCAAAGCTTGAAAAAATTTTTTTTAGCCAGTGCTGATTGTTGCCGTTTCCGATTAAAAAGTCAAGCAGCAGTAATAGCGCACACATTATTTGTCTGCAGACACGTTGTCTGATGCCGATCACCTAAAATGTTTTCACTGACAGATTAATTTACAACCACTCTGCCACCAATGCTAGAGTAATTAACTTTATTTCCAGTATTTTTGATCAGCTGTTTCAGTGGTAGGCCGTGCATTTCACACTTAGGCCTTCATTGGTGTCCTACCTGAATTAATCCATTTCTTAATACCATCATTATGATGCCACGGCTATTGAAACCATTAATATTATACAGAAACGCAGTATAACAGAGCATTGTATCACAGCCAGGTACCTCAAGCAGCGAAAATGAATGCCACTACTAAAGCAGGAAACTCAACACACTTCAACAAGTCTCCTTTCACTACAGCCACAGCTGTACCACATACTGTACATGGTCTCTAGCAGAAGCATCAGTATTAACCTAATAAAATGACAAAATGCAGTCCGTTTTTGTAGTACCTTTTGAGTTCTGTGATCATGGAAACCCTGGGGATTACGGTTTGAAATTAATGTGTTTTTGTGCAATTCTATAGGAAAGAAAATGCAAAAGCATAAATGATTCTTGAAAAAGTTTACCAATTGTTTTGAACAATCAAAAGTATGACAGAAATTTCTTTCAGTTGATAGTCTGTGGTTCGGTCATTCGGATTTATTTTCTTTTTCGAAACAAACTTTTCTTGAATATTTTTATGACATTTTTAATTATTTAAATCAGTTGGCCTCAAGACCCTGGAAACTCAGGTGTCATGGATTTACAGTGGAACCTAGGATTGCGAGTATAATTCCTTCCGGAAACGTGCTTGTAATCAAAAGCACTTGTATATCAAAGCGAATTTCCCCGTAAGACATAATGGAAACTCAGATGATTCGTTCCACATCCACTAATCCATATAAAAATGATTACAGTAATACAAAATACAGTATAAAGTAAAAATAAAACAAATTAACCTGCACTTTACCTTTGAAAAGAATCATGGCTGGTGTGAGGGGGCCATTGTTGCGGTACAGATATTGACAATATGAGTGAAGCGCGATAACAATCGGCTCAGTTGTGACGTACGGCAGATAAAGCGTACGTACTACTCATATTGCGAGACCTCACTCGTATATTGGATCAAAATTTTTTGCTCGTCTTGCAAAACACTCGCAAACCGGGTTAGTCGCAATCCCAAGGTTCCACTGTACATAGGAAAAAGTCCTAAAAAAGCGTTTTTTTTTTTTTTTTTTTTTTTTTTTTTTTTTTTAACCTTTTTTTTGTGGACACGGAAAAAAACGGGGACACAGAAAAAGCGGGGCCTGGATTAGCCAGGGTTGACTGTATAAAAAAAAAAAGTAAATAAAATGCATTATATTCACCAAAACTACTGATTAATTGAACACAAGATAATCCATCCTCCTTTCTTTCCTCAAGAAGAGTTCATTTACTCTGTTGTACAGGTTATCTGTGCTTTTCAGTTCCAACAATAAGTTCTTTTCTATTGCCATGGATGCTATGCTGAAAGTCGAGATTGTCCAGTTGTATTTGTGGCATAAGTTTTAATTCACTTTAGGCCTGAGAATGTCCGCTCGACAGAAACAGTGGACACAGGGATAGTCACTCCCAAACATGCCAAAGCTGCCTCATGCTCTCACCCAGAATTTTCTGCTGAAGGAAATCAATGAGATCATCAGGACTTTTTCAAAATCAGTCATGGCATACATTAGATTCAGTTCTGTTTTTAGCCAGAACAGATCAAATAGTGTTCTGTCATTCTGCTTTAAGCTGTTAAATCGCTAAATATTTCAGCGTGTGCAGTTCGCTAAAGATGCAGTTTGCTAGCTCTGCCTAGTATGCTCTCTGACCATCCAATCAAAGGACGTGAAAATGCCCACGTTATTGTATGCCTTATAGATGGCCCTGGTGTTACAAACTCCAAATGTGATTGGTTAAAGCAACAGTTTCATTGCCATTAATTTTAAGCTACAAGTGCCTGCACTGTTGATTCTGAAGGCCTCAAGGCAGATTTTTTTGACCCTGCCAACACATGATGGCTGAAATATGATTGGATAAAAGCTCTAACATAAACGTACACTACTGGAAGCAGCGCAACCAAGAGAAAAGCTATGAAATGAAGAGAATTGATTATTGGGAATAATTTAATATACATTCATGGAAAATATACTATATTAAAACCTAAGTCAGTGATTCTGATTATGTTTAGGCCAGCAGAGAAGGCCTTGTTGGCCCTGATGGCCCACCACTGAGTTCTATATATTGCGGTAGGGATGACGTTATTTTGTAGGCCAACCCGGAAGTTAACATCACCCTGGTTCCTTTGACAAAAAGCCAGTGGGATTTTTCCATAGGCTTTTGGATTATTGCGCAAAATAAGCTCTGTGACAAACAATAGTTTATGACATTTACATTTTGTAAAAAAAAGCAGGATAATCTTCACAATTGAACACTACTGTTATGATTTTTGAAGCCCAAATGCAAATGCCAGAAGTAAAAGGCTATTGTTAAGCTATAAATGAACTACACCACGGTCCCATGATTTCAACGTCACCACTACGGCTTCCAACTTGTAATTGATTTATAGCACTTACCTCTTCAAAATCCTTTCCTCTTAGCATGACCTACTAATCAGATCTAGCTAGTGATTATAGCTGTCATTTAGTTAAAATGGTTTGCAAGTGTGCAAATTTAAATATAATGAGGCTGTAAAGGTGGACTAGTGAGTATGCTAGTCTCTTTGATGATTTGTAAGATCCCATACAGCCTCTGTGGTCTCATTTAGCTACTTGTTTCAGTATTTGTTTCGCTTCTTGACCAGAGTCCAAAGCTGTCCTCAAATTTGGCGGAGATCTAAACAAACCCAAACCAAGACAATGATTACATGTTGTATTACATTTTGTTCCAGCCTTGAAAAATAAGTATATGACTATTTCTTTGCACTATTCATTCTCTGTGTGTCTATAAAAACATGTATATCTCAGGGCCTGTCATGTCGCTACTACCACGGTGTCCACAAGATGCGGGACCACTACACACTACAGCAGGTTCACGGACTACATGAAGCCTGGGATATTGAGGACCTGGTTGCACTGGGCAAACAGCTCCGGTCATGCTCTTACTACGCTGCCCGTGAACTTATGCAGGGTGCCTCCATCATCTTCTGCCCATATAACTATCTGCTGGACCCAATGATCAGAGAGAGTGTGAGTAGAGTTTTGACAGAAAGTTGGAGAAATTTTAGAAAAATCACAAAAAGTTGCAAGGAGAGGGAGCAGCAAATGAGATAGTGGAATATATGGCATGTAGTGTCAAGAGATTAGACTCTTCTTTCTCCTCATCTCTGCCTTCATTACCCATCTTCTGCAGATGGAGATCAACCTGGCAGGCCAGATCTTGGTGCTGGATGAAGCCCACAACATTGAGGACTGTGCAAGGGAGAGTGCCAGCTTCACATTAGACCACAACAGTCTGCTGATGTCCAGAGATGAACTGGATAGCATGGTTAACAACAACATCAGGAAGTCTGAACATGAAATACTCAGAAACTTCTGTTACATCCTAGTCAGGTCAGTCAGCCAGTTATTAATTGACTTAACTTATCATATATGTTCTCACAATTTGAGAAGATATTACTCAGGATGTGTCTTTTTGTGTAGCTGGATCCAGGAGAGCAAAAGCCTAATGTCTGAAAGGGAATATGAAGTCGCCAGTAAAGTCTGGAGTGGGAATGATATATTGGGCATCTTTAACAACCTGGGCATCACTGCTGATACGTTTTGTGATATGAAGGTACACCAAATCTTTTTGCTTTTCTTAATTTTTTTAATCTTACCCAACCCTTACATAATCCATTATGGCTAAGTTATTTTCTCTTAATGTTTTGAGCTGTGAAGTTAGCAATTATTAGCACTTAGCAGCTGAACTGAAATATTTTTTCCAGTTCAAATATCCAATCTAAGCCTTAAGTACTGAATCCTCACAGTTTTAGATTGAAAATCTGTGTGTTCAGTGTAAATGACAGAGAGCAGTAGAGTTTAAGGACCCCCAGTCTTTATAGTCATGTTTATTGATTGCAGAAAGACTGAAAATGTCTAGGTACTGAATAATGTTTCATTTATAGTTGAATGAATTAGAATACTTGTTTGTTTTTGTTAATAATCAAAACAACACTACTGGTCCAAATCACAATAATACAATAACCTGGTCCTGATCCATCCCAACATCAAAGAGAAAAACAGAAAGTTTGTGAAGGACCTTTCCCAGGTACTTGTATTATGTTTATTATCTACCTCTACTCAGGCATTTTGTACCTAAGGTCCTGCTTGAACATCTCTGATTTTGGTAACTTTTAGGTTTCAATTCATTCCAGTTCAGTTCTGTCTTCTGAGAGCCGATGTACCAGAGTAAAATTCCTCGTGTGTCTGACACACCTGGCCAATAAAGCTGATTCTGATCCTGTCCTGTCCACGTTATTGTCATAGAGTAAAAACCCAGCAAGTCCCATCCCATCCTGGTCTAGACCTGAACTTACTATCCACATTAGTGTCATAGAGGAAAAACTCAACAAATCCCCCTTGATCAAGCACTTGGTGACAGCGGCGAGGAAAAACTCCCTTAAATGGAAGTGGTTTCAAATGCCAAAAGTGATGTACATATAATACTAACTGAAGACAACGCCACAGTTTGCACATGAAATTATTTTGTTAGTTTTCCTCCACACTGTAGGGATAAAAAAATGTTCTAAATGTGTAAATTGTAATGGTTATTAAAATTAGTAAAGTTGTCCACCGGCTTTTTCCCTGGTAGGCTAGTGGTTAAGGCGCAGCGCTCTCGCCGCTGCGGCCCGGGTTCGAATCAGGGTTGCTTCAGCAAGGACATCCGGTGTAAAACACATGCCAAATGTCAACATGCGAGTCATCAGTGTGACGATTCGCTGTGGTGACCCCTAAACGGCAAAAGCCGAAAGTGACTTACTATCAACTTCAGAAAAAGATGATTTGGACTTTTCATGGATATAAAGTAGAAAAAGAAGTAATAGGATTAATGGGAAATGTTGTCTTAAGGTTTCACAGTAACACTAAGCACTGCTAGAGTAAAATCACCTCCAGTATGGCCTAATTTCTTTATGGTAAATGTACTAAAGTGTGCTATTTCTTGTTATATTTATTACATTTTTGTTCATTGGATTATGTGGTTCACAACATTAAATCTAAAATAAAATAACAGATGCTAGAATGAAGTGCCAGTTTACAGCTTTAGTTTGAGTAGGTTTACATCAATATTGAAAGAACTGTGTGAAATTTAGGGTTGGTGTCCAAATTGCAAGGGTTCAACAGTAATTGGATACTTGGCTACTAAATGTTTATTGGCTGCTGTATGTTGTTTCAATGTTAGTTCACACAAAAAAGAGCTCACATGTGGCTCAGTTGTTGGTGAGTTGAAAGTAGCCATTTAAGTTGAGGTGGAGTTGTCTCACTATGAGGAGCACAGAGGTGACCAAGACAGTGAAGAAGATATGCATAAGCATAAACTTTATTGCCAAGTATTTCAAGAATACAAGGAATTTGACTCCAGCTCAATGGCCCCCAATGTGCACAACATAAGAACAAAACAAATGCACAATATATACAAGTTAAAAGAGCAACATAGACTAGCTGTTAATCAGTGTAATAGTCCGGGGAAAGAAATTGTCTCTGTCTGTTTGTCTTGGTGCACAGTGACCTGTAGTGCTGTCCAGAGGGGAGGACACTTTGTATCCAAAGTCAGAGGGGTCTGCAGAAATCCTCTCTGCCCTCTTTTTGACCTGTAAGGTGTATAGGTCCTCCATGGAGGGCAGGCTGGCACTGATGATTTTCTCTGCAATTCTGAATGTCCGCTGGAGTCTGCTCCTGTCCTGTTTGGTTGCTGAGCCAAACCAGACAGTGATGGAGGTGCAGAGAGAACAGACTCGATGATTCCCCTGTAGAATTGAATCAGCAGCTTCAGAGGCAGGTTGAACTTCCTGAGCTGGCACAGGAAGTACATCCTCTGCTGTGCCTTTTTAATGATGGCACTGATGTTAGTTGTCCACTTCAAGTCACAAGAGATTGTGGAGCCCAATGAAATTGTAGGGCTCCACGACTGAAACAGTGCTGCCAAGTATGGTGAGTGGAGATAGGGTGGAGGAGCTCCTCCTAAAATCCACTATCATCTCCACTGTCTTCTGGGTGTTCAGCTCCATCTTAGATGAAAGTGGAGTGAGGAAAGATAAAGTGAATTGGTATCTTCCAGCTTCTGACTGGCTGAACACACCTGAGCCAGGTAATCAGCAGCAGGTCAGGCAGGTATAATTGGAATACAAGCAGGACACGGCCCTCGAAGACTGGAATTGGCCACCCCTGACCCAAAGCATAGCATCTCATCTGTCAGACATGGTGCTTGTTCTGTTATGGGCATGTATGGCCTTAATTGCTACCAGTGGAACTGGCACTGAACACCTTGTTACTGGGCATGTATGGCCTTAATTGCTATCAGTGGAACTGGCACTGAACACCTTGTTTTACTGCTGAAAGAGGCAATAGGGTGAGTGCAGAGGTATACAGTAGCCTTCTGTGTGCTCAGACAAGCGCATCAAAACTCACTGGGCAACATTTCATCATTCAGCATGGCCAAAGCAACCAAAGAGCTGTTCAGGGTGAAGAGGTGGAATATCCTTCACCTCACTCACCTGATCACAATCTGACCGAGTTCTTTGTATATTGATGCAAACCTACTCAAATTAAAGCAGAGGTCTGGCATTTGATTTGACAATAAATTTAAGTGCTTTATTTCAAATTTATTGTGGTGACACTGAGAGCCTGAAGAGCAAATAATGTGTAACTGTCCAAACACCTACTGTCTGGACTGCATGTCGTCCACTGTCTTTCTGTGTGACAGCAAAACTTGGCAGCAGTATTGGAGAAGGAGCACCGTGTTGTGGCTAATAATAAAGAGGACATTGTGCAGATCCCAGTCATCAGCTCAGCTACCTCCGCTGTCCTCAAAAACCTCTTCATGGTTCTGGACTTCCTCTACAGGGACAAGTGCAGGTCAGAAACAACCCAAAGAAGTCAGCTCAATCCTAAATCAGCGCTGCGCCTCAGATGAGCTGTTGTATAGGGTATAGAATTAAAAGGTTGCTTTGTTGTGCTTTGTGTGTCTGTAGGTTTGCTGACGACTACCGTGTAGCTTTGCAGAGGACCTATGCTTGGGTGAACCAAGTCCCTCCTGATGTCCCCGATGCCAAGGGATTTTTTGGTCGGCCACGCTACAGACAGCGTCATAGCATTCGAGTCAAGACAGAAGTTTTGGCCCTGAGCTTCTGGTGCCTCAACCCTGCTGTTGTAAGCGCTTAGATGTGGCAGGCCAAACCTATTTGTTATTGAAGTAGAGTGTGGATACCTGATCCGAGGCCAACAGGACCCCATGGGGCATTATAGAAGAAAATTACAGAAATAAGGCTGTGAGATTTGGACTCCACACTCTCGGGCACTGGTTGGGTTTGGACAGAAATATGTGGCCCATTCTACACTCTATACTGAAGCCTATAAAAATGAAGAATGCATAACTTAATAGGTTCTGAAATTAAGGTTAACTGCCAGAAATGTCCCCACTGTGGGATCAATAAAGTACCTACCTACCAAATGCTGGTAAAATATGTCATAAATAAGTAAATGTTCAAGACTGTTAACAGTTTTTATGATTCTTCAACCTTTACTGAGCCACAGTTCACTCTTTATTGTAAAATATTTTAATTATGGCATAAATGACTGCTAAACACCCCTTGGACCTTCATTTTGTCCATGTCTGCATCCCAGGCTTTCTCTGACTTGAGTGAGTCCGTGCACAGCATTGTGCTGACATCAGGAACCCTGTCACCCATGGGCTCCTTCTCCTCTGAACTTGGGGTGAAATTCTCCATCCAGCTGGAGGCCAGCCATGTTATTAACAAGTCCCAGGTCAGTTGCACATGGCACCAAGCTTTAAGGAATACTGCAGTGTATGTATTTTTCAGCAGTTGGGATAAAGTATATTTAGTAAGTGGATTTACAAGAACTCTGTGCTGTATCATATCGCTTGATTTCTGGACACTGAATATAATCTCAACAGGACTTAATTATGATTTGAACTTAGAATATCAAAAAGTCGTATTTGATCATTTCAACAAGTCTTCAGAAGGTTAATCAGAGTGGAAATGCAGGGCTGTTTCAGTAGGTAGAACTCAAAGCTGCTGTATGAACAGTCTGAAACTTTGACCCTGTGTTTGTTGTAAATCAGTGCCAGTTTTGTCCAGCTGATGTCATAGTCTAACATTTTGATTGGAATAAAACTCATCTGAAGGGCTGACTAATGGAGTGGTTCAGGGCTTTGCAGATGTGAAGATCACTTTTGCATAAATCATTTGAGCTGATTAATGTAAAAGATGTATTTTTAAAATATGTTGCAGAATCAGGTGGGATACATAAGATTTAAACAGTATGTTTTTTCAAAGGCTCACAATGATGCCAGGACATATTTGTTCTTGGGTCTTGGATAAGTATCATGCCCAGATATAATTATTATACAAAGTATATTGGTGAAATGAATCTTAGCTTTCTAATATGTTCTTTTCAGGTTTGGGTGGGCACTGTTGGTGCAGGACCCCAAGGCAGAAAGCTCTGTGCCACCTTCCAACATGCTGAAACATATGTCTTCCAGGATGAAGTGGGTGCCCTGCTGCTCCATGTGTGCCAGGTCATGGCCAAGGGTGTGCTTTGCTTTTTGCCTTCTTATAGGGTAAATATAACACTAAAACACCCATTATTAAAAGAGGAAACATAGGCTGTGAAATTACTGGCCTGATGGATTATAACATTGTGTATTATTCTGTCACATGGGTGATATTCTCCAGTGTGTGTTCTGGCACTTCCAGAATTTCATTGGTTAGCTATATGAGAGGTACTGTACTGAACAGTACATGTTTTAAAAAAAAAGGTTAAATATTTAAAGTCCCCATGGCAAGCTCATTTTGCTTGTTTCCAGCCATTTAATGTTTAATCTTGGGTACCTCTAGATTAGCTTGGCACCTATCATAACTCTAAATAGTCAGATTTTATCACTGAAATAATTACAGAGAGCCTCTTCCTAAAAACGAGAAGATAGTTCGCGAACGTGCACAACTCCTGTTTGCTGGTGTTGTGTCGTAAGTGGACCACAAACAAACCACAACAGCATTAATTAATATGAATTTCTCCCCATAGATACATAAACAGCCATACTGTATATGTACCGGTAAAAAGAGATGTGTGAAACTCTAAACAAAGCCGGTAGCTGAGAAACCCCATATTTTAACTGGCATAATGCAGACATAGTAGCTTCTTAGCTTCTCCAGCCTTACAATAAATCTTTCTAACATTACAGAAACAAGGCATTAACAGACATGCAGTGTGTTTTATTTAAACTTACCATTAAGTCCCACCGAGTAGTGGAAACATCACTCCCTTTCAAGTAGCTCCAAGGTCGGTAAATCCAACTGGTGGTCGCTGTGCCTTCCCCCACACAACCACATACAATCCCAATATAGTAGTAAAATTAATTCCAACAGGTAGTGTAGCGCAGACAATAACATCATGGGTCCTTAATAGCGCTTGTTATCCAGCAACACATCACATGCGGCAGACACATTGGCCTCAAACAGTACTGTGCTCTGTGGGAATCCAGTGTTGATGAGCTGATCAGTCACTGCTGCGGGGGCTTCACAGGCTGGCTGCTTGTAGGTTAGACCTGGTCAGGTAAAACAGTGAGTCCCTGTACAGGAACATTCCCCTGTATTTTCTCCACATCCTCTGGTCACAGTGCAGCAGTAGGAGGTAAAATATATCCACAAAACCGCTTTTATAGTGGCACTGGTGGATGGGTTTTTTCTTTTGTCGTGACTAGAGTGTGATGCCGACTAAATTAATTCAGACAAACCATCCCAATTTAAAGGATCATTTAATATTATAATTATTCTGAATAGAGTAGTATTTAAACAGATAATTTTGTAGTTAGGGAAACAGAGAACAGGGACTGTCCTCCTGCAATGTGATAGATAAAACATTAAATAAGAAGATTGTCAAAAGCGTCGGTCCAGTCAGTTGTTGTTGGTCACGAGTCAGTCTTTCTGTCAACCCACAGTCAGTTGTCAGTCTCCCCCCGGCTGGGTCCCCCAAAAAGCACACGGTTTACTGTCCCAGTAGCATTCTCTCTCTCTCTAACCCTTCAGGCCCACTCTTTTATCCGCAGCTTTCCTTAGGCTGTTACGTCAATTTCTGAACTTGGCTTCCTGTCTCCAGTTTCAGGAGACAACACCCTGAGATGTACTTCAAAAATAGGAAACATCTTGACCAACTTACATAAGCTCATTGTCCAGCTCACATGAACTTAATGAACCCATAACCACTCAGCTCTCCCTTACACAACTAGTACAAATAATATCTATATACTGTTACCTTGTTTATTTTTAGCCACTACACTTTTAATAACATTTATTAAAAATATACATAAACAAGGCAGTATAACATTTTACCAATATGGTGGGGACACCGGTGGATGTCAGACAAGCTCACATGAATGTGCAACTGCCTGGAGATTGACCATTCAAGGAAACTCTTAAACTAACATGTAAAACTTTTATTTTGATCTGCATAGAAGTACTAGAACATACGTACACCTCTTTTTTGAGTTTTAGGTCACGTCTAAGATAATAAATTCACAGTTGTAACATTGTAGATAAGTCAAAAAAACAAGAAAAAACATGCCGTAGGCTGTTTAAATTTAACTCACATTTGCATTCCTAATCTTAGTCCCAGCTGGTAACAGAACATTTAACAATGCAGACAGTCCTGTGAAATTATAAAATCACTCAGATCATATGATATTCAGAGTCGAAATCCCTGGATACTGTAATGCAAACCAGAAAAAAATACCAATCACACTTTACCATTTTTTAAGCTCTTTCTTTGATTTATTGATTCAGCTGTGTGGTAATGTTTGAGACGTTTGGAGTGTTGCAGATTATCTCACTTTATTTAAATCCACTGGATGTGTGTTTGACATGTGCACTACAGACTTTGTAAGGGATAGCACACATGAATTATAACTAATATAGTTTAAATATGCCAGATTTAGTGATAAGGCAAATTTTTATCAGCAGTCCCTGAGCAGTTTGTTTCATAAGCAAGACAAGAAGAGAGGCAAAAAGCTCAAAAACGTATAGGATACAGAATAAATGAAAAGAAAATGCAACATCTTTGAGCATAATGCAGTAGAAAGCCGCACACTACACCGTCCAGTACAAGTACAATCATGAAGTATCCCTAGAAACATTTAGGAAAGCTGATAGCTGGGATAATTGTGTTGCAGTGCGTAAGTATAACGGAAGAGGTGTATTTAGTTTTCATGTCCCTCAGCACATCAGTAGTTTTATTTACAGAGGACTGGTGATTACATCATTGATACCAAACATTTACTGTTGCCTTACCTTATAGTGCAGCCTTTGCACTCAAAGATAGTTTACTGTTAAACATTAATTTCCACCTTTTACCACTGGGAGGTGCTGGAGACCACAAACTGGATTCATGTCCAGTGCTTTTGTTGTTTCAAGGTATTTGTTTTAACTTAGGTCATGCAAACCAAGTAATATTTTTCAAAGCCAAGACTGGATTCCAGGAGATCCCACTGCTAAGAAGCAGCTCTTAGCGGTGTCATATGTTAAAATAGATGACTAGTAATCAATAGAGCTACTTGTTTAATGCTGTCAGCCTCACAGAACAGTATCCTCTTTCACTTAATGATAGCAACTCTGAGGGTGCACTCATAGATACTTTGAAGAGTAGAAAATGCCTGAAAAATTAAATATAATTTTTCTTGATGTCCTTATTATTATCATTGCAAAACCCCTCAGACTTGTTTTGGGGTCTGCACTGCCTAGTTAGGAGCCATTGCCATAATGTACATAAATTAAATAATAAAAGCAGAAACCTTTATACATTTTTAAAATTATAATTTTTGTGGTAAACTGTTTCATGCTACAAATTAGTTATGTTTTGATCATTGATGTCTTACTCTGCTCATTAGAATAAGTAAAGTTGTTAGAACAAAACATTAATTTTAATGTAAATATAATGGATGTGAAGAAAGAAGTGGCAAGTGTTTCGAAGCCTACTCCTAATCATCAGCAGAAAATACTATGTTTAAATGATGTCTGCCTGAAAGAAATATGTTACCTAAACTGTTTTCCAGCTTTGAATCATACAGTTTTGTAAAAATATTCCTGATGTCCTCTTATTGAAAGCAACAATACGTAACTATCAGTTTATCTTCCCTTATAGTTTCTGATTATACTTGAGTTGCAGCCAGCTGTTCTACTAGTTGCACTCACCCCCTCCTCATGGACACTGATGCATGTACATGTGTTTATAAAATGAAGCTGTTACTGAATCGAGAAAGACAACGAAAGTAATATTCCTGGTTTTTTTTATTTATTTATTGTGACATGGAAGATGAACTGCCATTTTTAGTGTTACTGAAGTACTACTTATATTTTTAGATAGTTTGCTAAGCGTTTGAATGTAGATGTGTGTAATTGAATGAAACGTTATAGGCTCATATTGCACATAATATACAGTGCCTTGCGAAAGTATTCGGCCCCCTTGAACTTTGCGACCTTTTGCCACATTTCAGGCTTCAAACATAAAGATATAAAACTGTAATTTTTTGTGAAGAATCAACAACAAGTGGGACACAATCATGAAGTGGAACGAAATTTATTGGATATTTAAAACTTTTTTAACAAATAAAAAACTGAAAAATTGGGCGTGCAAAATTATTTGCAAAAGGTCGCAAAGTTCAAGGGGGCCGAATACTTTCGCAAGGCACTGTACGTACACTGGGCAGTATAATTTATTACCAGCTGGCTGAGAAGGGTTTGTTAGGCTGCAACTTCAAAGGCTTACGTATATGGTGAAACAGTGACAAAGACTGCTTTCTGGCATGAGATGAATTTATTTGGGGGACTGAGGTAGATGACGGTTTATATCTGGAAAAAAAACTACAAATCTCCATGAGGTGAAATGATATAGACAGGGTATTTCATATATAACATTAGCAGAGATGTACACTCTGCTGTGGTGGTGGTGTTGTTTTTGTATTAGTAGATAATGTCAGGACAGTAGGTATCAACAGTTAGTAACCCTGATGGGTTTTTAAGCTCTCACCAATGAGTACAAGCCAGTCCAATATTTACTCTTGTCTGGTCTCTTTCTCTCTCTTTTTCTCTTCTTGGTTGTGGTTTTACTCTGGTGATGCTGTAGTTGTAGGGTTGTGTTGTGTTGAGCATGTTTTTTTTTTCACATCCTTTGGCTGGATAGATCATAGCCACATAAACATGTGTCTATAAGACAGATACAGTATCTTCTGACTCTATGCTGTACTACATGCTGCTACGTGTGTGCTTTAGTTCATGTCCTAGTTTGCTCACAATCATAGGCGATTGTAGTGAGTTGGTAAGTCCGAACTTTAAGTCCAAACTCTCGAGAGTGGAAGGACACAGTACTCGCACTCTGTGTTTCCACTATCAGAACCTAATGAGCTGTACACCCCGCACTTCCTTTAACCATCATCAAGCTTAGCCTCCGGGGTTGATGCAGACCATCCTGCTTTGTTTTTCAACTGTATTCTCTCTCTGTTGGTCTCTGTTTAGAGGAGAGAGGGGCTGCTCCTCACACACACACACACAGTGAGCTGTGTATATACACGGTGCTTGTAATGCTAATGCTTGTGGTGTGAAGATGTTGACATTTAACCAATCCCTGGCGACTGCTCTGTGTGCACGCACCCCATCTCTACTCATGTTCCTGATACTTGTTTTTAGTACTACCTCCTGAGGGGTGCTGAAATTTAGTTCCCAGAATGCACCTCCAAAGCATGCCGAATGTAGTGGAAACAAATGCAGATTCTGTGACTAGTGTTACTCAGCGTGACATGTTTCAGTAGGTTCCTATAATGGAAAAACACCTACAGTGTGCAACTCTAACACCAGTGTCCTTGCTGACTCTGCTTTGTACAAGATGTAGCTGCCTGCTAAGGAGAGTTAACTTGGTCTACTATCAGGTTCTTACAGTTCTGAGCAAATTTACATATTGGCAGTACTTGGATAAACGGACCACATTCAATCTAAGCGGGTACCTTTTCATCTGAAAAAAATATTAAAACTCAAGAAAGTCCCAGGTATTTATCTCTGCATGTAAGATTATAGAGCTAATGAAGGTGCTGTAAAGCAAAACACAGCTATCATGTGAGCCCCCCTGGGTGGTGATCCAAAGTTACATAGTGCAGCAACAGATGATCCTGGCACCCAGTGGCAGTAGATGTCAGTCTACATGCATTTTTGAAGGTCATAAATTTATTTCTAAGGCATTTTGAACTTGTGAATTACTTCATCTGCGGTTATGTTTTACACTTGCATCCTGGGTCACCTGAACATGTGCCCTATCATGGAAGCCAGGCATCACTGGAATGCTGTGATGATGAGTCAGTCATGTTAAGAGGACATATCAGTTTCCAGCAAACGGAGGACATTTACAGTGTGTTTTAGCCTAGGCAAATTTAGTTTTTGCCTTTGGCGTATTTGTGTAGTTTGTGTTTGACTTGCATTTCAGTGACAGATGCAGTGATCATTCGTTTGATTTTCTTTAGTCCTTGCTTGCTTGCTATCCTCTTGCATTCTCAAACACCACACTGTGAATGAAAGCTGTCTCTGGGCCTTTTTGGTTTCTCATTTTACCTTTCTTTATGCCAGCCTGTGAGGCTGGCCAAGGAGTGTCTATGAGCTGTGGGATATTTTTTTTTTATTATTGATAGCTGTGTAGGAGTCTTTTATCTCTGTCTGTGCTGATGCATAAATATTTAATCTGCAGTCAGCTCTTAAAGATGTGGAGATGAGGGGATATGAAGGGCTGAGATATTAATTGGAGCTCGTGGAGGCCTTGATGGTGCCACAGAGTCCTGCCTGCTGTGTTGTGTGTGTTTGTATGTGTGCAGTCAACACAGAGTGGATAGGAGATCTCTAAACATCTCTGTTCAGTGTATCTGGGTGATGGCTTTCAACCCCTCATGCCTTGTCTGCAACAGACAGAGGGAGCAGCAAGGCAGACAGGCATGCAGTGTCAGAGTGTCCCATAAAGCTGTGTTCGCTGTTCTCACATTCACAAACATACAGTGAGGAACAGAAGTATTTGAACACCCTGCGATTTTGCAAGTTCTCCCACTTAGAAATCATGGAGGGGTCTGAACTTCACATTGTAGGTGCATTCCCACTCTGAGAGACAGAATTAAAAAAAAATGTCAGGAAATCACATTGTATGATTTTTAAAGAATTTATTTGTCTGGCAGAGAGGAGTTATGAAGTGCCATGTCTCAATTGTGCTGCACTTTATGGACCACAATGTCCCTTAACGACTGAGTCATTATAGCCCAGTATCGGTGAGAGTCGTTACCTGTCTTTGAATCCTTTGTTGGCCTTCAAAGGACTGAAACACCACCGAGGGGGATAAATATCTCCGGCTCAACACCAGTCAGTCAGAACTGATGAAGCCTCTTGGATGAGAGGTGAAACATCTTCGACCTAGAAATCTAGTCCAGTTGATTTTTTTTCTACGTTTTTTCAGTTTTCTGAAGAAAATGTGTATGAATGCTGAGTGCTGAAAGATCGCCCTGACAATGCTGAACATTTTGACACCTGAACGGTTTTGCTAGCTGAAAGTATGCTGAAGTTGAATTTTCCCATTCATTTGAATGGGACAAGATTTTCAAAATAAAGCTAAATATTTCAAAAGCATGAAGTTGAGAAAAATTCTGAAGAGAAGCATGAATGTCCTTGAAAAGCTGAACATTCTGATAGCTGAAACAGCTTGAAGAATGCTGAAGAAGAATTTTTCCCATTCATTTGAATGGGGTAAAATTTTCAAAATAAAGCTCAATATTTCAGTTTAGAAAACTTCTGAACAGAAGCATGACTGTCCTTGAAGAGCTGAACATTTTCATACCTGAAAGTATGCTGCAGTAGAATTTTCCCAGTCATTTGAATGGGGCAAGATTTTCAAAATAAATTTGAATATTTCAAAAGTATAAAGTTTTTAAAAATTCTGAATAGAAGCGCTGAACATTTTGATAGCTGAAATTATGCTGAAGTTGAATTTTCCCATTCATTTGAATGGAGCAAGATTTTCAAAATAAAGCTAAATATTTCAAAAGTATGAAGTTTACAAAAGTTCTGAATAGAAGCATGAATGTCCTTGAAGAGCTAAACATTCTGCTACCTGAAATAGCTGAGAGTATGCTGAAGCAGAACATAATTACAAAAAATAAATGCAATGCTTTTTCCAAAAAGTTGGAAAACATCTAGAACAATCTTCTACACCTCTTAGTTTCCTCCTCCTTCTCCTTCATCCGCCCCTCTAATCGTGAGACTGTTTCCTGAAGAGAGGTCACTTCCAGTTTAAGAGCTGAACGGTCATCAGTCAGCTCTACCACTCGAGATATCAAAGCCTTGCGGGCAGCTTCTACCAACTCACTCGGGGTGGGGGAGACAAAGCAAAGCATGAGCATTTTAGGAGTGTGTGGAAAAATACAAATCAGCAGTCACTTAGGCAAACAAAGTAAACAGTTCCAACAAATTAGTGTCTGAAATATTTTCTCATCTTCCTGATTTGTTTCTACTGAAGCAAGAAGGGTAGGTGTTTGTGTGTCTGTGTTTATGTGTGTGTGTATGAGAAAGAAAGCATAGTCGTACACACTGAGAAATATGAGTGTGGCTAATGAAATGAGACATAAAATGTAAATGGTTATTATGCAAAAACCATAAAAAAGATCATAAAGCTGTTTACGGTATGAATAGCTGAAGAGTTGCTGAATAGTTATTAGTTGAAATGGTAGTTTTAGCTGAAGGTGGGAGGAGATGAGTGCCAAAAAATGTACGTAAGAAACAATAAAAAAACACTGGAAAACAAGAGTGTGGCTGCATAGCAGTGCATAGCAGCACCACCAGACTGACACTGTCATCCATGGAGTCAACCACCATCATCGCTAATAAAAACCTAGTTTTATACTCATCGGTGTTGGGCAAAATGAAGCTCTGCAGTGACCATTTACTGTTTACCATATTTGCCTCCTCATTTACTATATTGGATACAAAAATAGGTAAACCATTGTATTTGTAAAAATGCATAACTATACTTCTGTAAAAATCTACCTGGAAAGTTGCATCTAAACTCTGTGCATTTATATTTTTTAAGTACTTTACTTTTATTCTTATTTTCTTAATGCACATTCCTTTTTCTTGTTTGCACATTCTTTTTCTTTTTTTGTTCTCTTAGTCTTATCCTGTTCACTTTTCTACTCATTGCCTTATGGAAGAACACTGTACTAGAGTCATATTCCTCATGTGTCCGACACACCTGGCCAATAAAGCTGATTCAGATTCTATAGATTTTGTAGGGGGAGTGTGTTGACTAATGAAACAGCTTTTGAGGCAACTCTTTACATCATCTGTAAGAGCCTTCTATTGTATTGAATAATCCAATAGATGCTGCTCTTAGTTTCTCATTTTGTATGTTCACTCATGATTCTGATTCTGTATGATCAATTTCTGTTTCTTAAGTAAAGGGTTCATAAGCTAGGCAACCATCTCTATTTACACCATGATACCTTTTGTTATTTGATTAGATGCTGGATAATCTGCGAGATCGATGGGCCAAGACTGGTGTCTGGAAGAAGTTAGAGCAGCAGAAAACGGTGATCACCGAACCTCGTGGTGGTGGAAAAGGAGATTTTGATGACCTGCTTCAGATTTACTATGATGCCATCAGATACTGTGAGGAACGCAGTCAAACTGGTAAATATCATTACACTGGCTTTTCAACCAGCTACTAGTTTTGCTGTATCATTCTGAAACAGCTTGAATGGTGACTTGAATTCTGAAAATGAGTGCTAAAATACATTATTTGATAGTCTAGTGCTCACATAGCCAGTGTAGCAATTCAGTGATTGTAATAAATAAGTTCAGTAGCACTGTTGCATCTCAGCTTAAGCTGGCATTTGTACAACTGCTCCAAAGTTAATTTACAATAGAGAAGTTATGCCTTGTCTACACCAAAAACATTTAAGCCATGTTTTTTTAGACATGTCTCATGTAATGTTGCTTTCGTCAACGAAAATTATAACTAAATATTGTCATAAATGAACCTTTATCACGTGACAAAAACGAGACGAGACGCAACGTAAATGCTGGTCATGTGACAATGACTATAATTAAATGTATAATGCAATATCGTTGACTAAAAAACGAGACTAAATGTGGTTTACAAAATAAAAATTATGCTAAAATGTCTCTTCATTTTCGTTGACCAAAACGAGATGAAATGAAATGTTATAATGTTATTTTGTCTCGTTTAGTCGCATTATTATTATTATTATTATTAATAATATTATAATTTTGCAGTATTTCTGTTTCCTGTATCTCACTTCAGGGGTTGCATCAGGTCGCACTGCGCAGACGCAGGCGATGTCACTTCCTTAAGCCCCACTCGTGGCATTATTTAGAAAACGACAAGAAACAAAGTTAAGTCTAACACAGAGAAAGGGACCAATGGCCAGCCAGCCGGGGTTCGCCTTTGGGAGAAAAAGAAGAAATGACATTTGGAAAAACTTTCATTACATACAGTGGGGCAAATAAGTATTTGATACACCGCTGATTTTTCACGTTTTCCCACTTACAAAGAATGGACAGATCTGTAATTTTCATCGTAGGTACACCTCAACTGTGAGAGACAATCTACAAAAAAATTCCAGAAAATCACATTGTTGGATTTTTAAATAATTTATTTCCATTTTATTGCACGAAATAAGTATTTGATAACCTACCAACCAGCTAGAATTCTGGCTCCCCCAGACCTGCTAGTTTGTCTTTAAGAAGCCCTCCTATCCTCCACTCACTGCCTGTATTAATTGCACCTGTTTGAACTCGTTACCTGTATAAAAAATCTAACAATGTGATTTTCTGGAATGTTTTTGTAGATTCCGTCTCTCACAGCTGAGGTGTACCTACGATGAAAATTACAGATCTGTCCATTCTTTGTAAGTGGGAAAACGTGAAAAATCGGCAGTGTATCAAATACTTATTTGCCCCACTGTTGAAGTGGAAAAGAAAATGGAATGTGTTGTGGAAAAAGATAGGGAGAAATGTGGCCACAAAATCACACAAAATATGTATTAGATGTATTCTTGAGTCTATAAGGTAAGGTTATATTATATTATATTATTGTTGTTTGAAATGGGTTTGGCTAAAATAAACTTTTGGTTTTGTCTATACTACTAGGTACTTATACTGTATTGACTGGGTTAAATAGAACTGCACTACTAAAAAGAGACTAAAATACAATTTTCATTGACTAAAACTAGACTAAATGTCATCAATTTTCGTCAACTAAAACTAGATGAAAATAGTCATGGATAATTCTGACTAAAATAAGACTAAAATGCTCAGACTTTTAGTTGACTGAAACTTGATTAGACTAAAAAGAGTTTGAACGTGGCTAAAACTAATAAAAACTAAAATGACAGCTTAACACAAAGACCAGACTAAAACTAAAATTAAAACAGGCTGCCAAAAACAACTGTAGTCTCATGTAACTAATATGCTCCTATGTCATTCAGTGCTGCTGTCCGCACTGTCTGCATGTCAGCTCACGTATCACTCGTGCTTTTTTGGATTGTAGTTTTCCCTTTTTCAAGGTGTTCATGTAGGCTCCTCTTTGTGCTCTTTATACACAAAGTGCTTCTGATGGCGTGAGTGAACACACACCTGCTATATACAGTGCCTTGCGAAAGTATTCGGCCCCCTTGAACTTTGCGACCTTTTGCCACATTTCAGGCTTCAAACATAAAGATATAAAACTGTAATTTTTTTTGAAGAATCAACAAGTGGGACACAATCATGAAGTGGAACGAAATTTATTGGATATTTCAAACGTTTTTAACAAATAAAAAACTGAAAAATTGGGCGTGCAAAATTATTCAGCCCCCTTAATACTTTGTAGCGCCACCTTTTGCTGCGATTACAGCTGTAAGTCGCTTGGGGTATGTCTCTATCAGTTTTGCACATCGAGAGACTGAAATTTTTGCCCATTCCTCCTTGCAAAACAGCTCGAGCTCAGTGAGGTTGGATGGAGAGCGTTTGTGAACAGCAGTTTTCAGTTCGTTCCACAGATTCTCGATTGGATTCAGGTCTGGACTTTGACTTGGCCATTCTAACACCTGGATATGTGTATTTGTGAACCATTCCATTGTAGATTTGGCTTTATGTTTTGGATCATTGTCTTGTGGGAAGACAAATCTCCGTCCCAGTCTCAGGTCTGTTGCAGACTCCATCAGGTTTCCTTCCAGAATGGTCCTGTATTTGGCTCCATCCATCTTCCCATCAATTCTAACCATCTTCCCTGTCCCTGCTGAAGAAAAGCAGGCCCAAACCATGATGCTGCCACCACCATGTTTGACAATGGGGATGGTGTGTTCAGGGTGATGAGCTGTGTTGCTTTTACGCCAAACATAACATTTTGCATTGTTGCCAAAAAGTTCGATTTTGGTTTCATCTGACCAGAGCACCTTCTTCCACATGTTTGGTGTGTCTCCCAGGTGGCTTGTGGCAAACTTTAAACAACACTTTTTATGGATATCTTTAAGAAATGGCTTTCTTCTTGCCACTCTTCCATAAAGGCCAGATTTGTGCAGTATACGACTGATTGTTGTCCTATGGACAGAGTCTCCCACCTCAGCTGTAGATCTCTGCAGTTCATCCAGAGTGATCATGGGCCTCTTGGCTGCATCTCTGATCAGTCTTCTCCTTGTATGAGCTGAAAGTTTAGAGGGACGGCCAGGTCTTGGTAGATTTGCAGTGGTCTGATACTCCTTCCATTTCAATATTATCGCTTGCACAGTGCTCCTTGGGATGTTTAAAGCTTGGGAAATCTTTTTGTATCCAAATCCGGCTTTAAACTTCTCCACAACAGTATCTCGGACCTGCCTGGTGTGTTCCTTGTTCTTCATGATGCTCTCTGCGCTTTAAACGGACCTCTGAGACTATCACAGTGCAGGTGCATTTATACGGAGACTTGATTACACACAGGTGGATTCTATTTATCATCATTAGTCATTTAGGTCAACATTGGATCATTCAGAGATCCGCAAGCGTTGCATGAGGTTCATGAGATATTAAATGCTACATATACTACACGGTGTAGACATGCCGTTATAGTAATTAAGAGTTGTGAATTACTTGTCATTTACTATGTTGATATATAGTAGGTACAAAAAGTTTTCAGAACCCTTTCAAGTTTTCCACATTTTATTGTTTCAAACTCATTTTAAAATGCATTCACTTAAATTTTTCCCCTCATCAATCTTCATGCAATACTTCATTAATGATTTTTTGAGTGTTTTGTAAATTTATTTAAAAAAAAAAAGAAATATCCCATTTACATATGTAAGTATTTAGGCCCTTCACTTAGTACTTGACTGAAGTGCCCATGGCATGCTCATTTTGCTCATTTCCAGCTATTTAATGTTTAATCTTGGGTACCGCTAGATTAGCTTTGCACCCCTCATATCTCCAAATAGTCCGTAATTATTTCAGAACAATAAAACCAGAGAGCCTCTTCCTAAAAATGAGAGGATAGTTTGTGAATGTGCACAGCTCCTGTTGCTGGTGTTGTCGGAAGTGCATAGCAGGACAAACCACAACAGCATTAATTAATGTGAATTTCTCCTCCATAGGCAGGTAAACAATGGTACATGTGCCGATGAAAACAGATGTATAACACTCTAAACAAAGCGGGTAATTGAGAAACCCCATATTTTAACTGGCATAATGCAGACATAGTAACTTTTCCAGCCTTACAACAATTCTCTCTGTTACACAAATAAGACATTAACAGACATGCAACCTATTTTTTTATTTTTTATTTGTTTTTTTAAACTTACCGTTAAGTCCCGCCAAGTAGTGGAATCATCGCTCCCTTTCAAGTAGCTCCAAGGTGGATAAATCCAACCTGGTGGTCACTATGTCTTCCTCTACATGACCACATACAGTCCGAAAATAGTGAAATTAATTCCAACAGGTAGCTTAGCACCGACAATAACATCATGGGTCGTTAATCTGCTCCTCACTGTCCTCAAGCAGTCAAAGCAGTTGTATAAACTGAGTTGCTTCTGCATAGAAATACTAGAACATACAGTAAGTACACATCATTTTTTGAGCTTTAGGTCATGTCTAAGATGATAATTCACCGTTGTAACATTGTAGCTAAGCCAAAAAAAAAAAAAGGAAAAGCATGCCATGGACCCTTTAAAGCACCTTTGGTAGCAACGTCAGGCTCAAGTCTTCTTGAGAATGAAGCTGCAAGCTTGGCACCTTTCTTTTGAAAATTTCTTCCATTCTTCTTGGCAGAATCATTCAAGGTCAGCAAAGTTGGATGGGGAGTGCTGGTGCACAGCCATGTTTAGGTCTCTCCAGAGATACTCTCTTGGGTTCAAATACGGACTGTGGCAGGGCCACTCCAGGACTTTCACAGTTTTCCCAAAGACACTCTGAAGCCACTCCTGTTTTTTCTTGGTATTATGTTTTGGGTTTTGATTTGATTTGATTTGATTTATTCTTTCAAGCATGTAAAGACAGTTGATATGACAACACACATAATTTTACACATAATCCAATATCAATTTGCTTATACCTAGTACATGCTTGAATGGAGTAGGAAGAAGTCAGACTTATCCAGTCCTACCCCATGACATCATCTTACCATCATTGGTTTGCAAGCAGTAAATGATTCACTTCTACCCACACAAGTATTATACTAAAAAAAGATGTTAACATTCTTACATCACACAATATACTAAAGAATTATTACAGAGTATTAACATTCATACACCACAGCCACAATGTTCCATCTAATTAATCATTAAGCCTGTTCTTGCATATATCTTGATTGACGCATACCTTTATATTTGTGTTTAAACTCATCAATTCTCTTACTGTTTTTTATGTCCACACTTAAATTATTCCATAGTTTTACCCCACTTAT